GGTTCAATCGCCCCATTCGCCCGTCATAAAGCCATGCGATTACAACTGTTCTATTCAGTTGAGAGTACTCTCCGACGGCAGACGCTACAATGTTTTGTCATTTGCCGAAATTGGCAACAACAGCAATTTACCCACACTTGTTGAAAAATCGAAGGTACCAGAGGTCCAAAGGCCCTCGGGGCACTGGGAGCGGGTCATTGGTGAAGGAGGGATTTACTCATCCTAAAGCTAAAATATCACTTTTCTATCTATTCTCCTCTTTGTTTTATTCAAAAAAAAAACCAGCGGCACGTTTGAATGGGATGACCTAATAGATATCTTTTACGAATCATATTTCTTTTACGAATATGGCATAATTGTGTACTTCTGGCAAATGCTTTTGATTTTTAGTTAATGACGAACTTCGAGCGACACGTCAATTCGATCTTATGGATAGAAGCGATGAAGAGGCGGAACATAGTATTGAAATGCAAATGCCGTTCATTGCAAAGGTTATGGAAGGGTAAGTTAGTAAAATACTTGCTCAAAGTAGCCAAAAACTTTTTTCTGGGTTCTGTTCACTTAGTGCTCTTTTCCAGAATATATCGTTTACAATTTCTCATATTTCATTCAGAATTTGTTTTTTTCCTATTTCAAGATGTATTTGCCTTTCTGCCTCAACTGACGCAAAATCAGCTAATAGGGGAGCGCTCACAACATTTTTTGTTCTTTGCTTTCCCCTACACTTATCTCTGTCTTTTTAGTTTCGGGGGTGAAGTCGAAAAATTGCAAGCTTACCTTTTCGGTCATTTCATCTACGATTTTTCCCGCGAGAACTTCGAAGATATGCTCATATCACTATCACACCGTATTTTTTATATCTTCGGCACCATAAGGAGGATTACACTAGTCTATCAGACGTGCTTATTATATAAAAACAGTTTCTGCTCGGTGTTACCCTATTTTCTGGACCCCGCAAGATGGCCAAGACGCGCGCATGAACGCTCGCGAAAAATTGCTAGACACAGCTGCAGCTGTTTGT